CTTTTACATTTCAACATTGACTCTATATCCCATTTAAACCTAACACATTTGTGTTATGTTATTTCTTATGTGTATAATTATATTGTGCATGTTTTTAGTGATGTATGTTTATGTTGAAAAAAATAATTTAAAAATTATTGTTAAAAAAAAATTCAAGCTCTAGCCATTGCACTGTTCAAGCATTTTATGAATAAAAGTATTGGATCTGATGCAGTAAAATAAATGTGGCCAGTATTTTCTATCAGTTACTTTATTAAGTATACATGTAGGTGATGCCTGCTTAACTAGGTTGGGGAGAGAAGTTACAATAGCAAGCAATAACAAGTATATTTCTGTACCACTTATCAGTGCACTTAAGGACTCTCTAAGCAGTTTACAATGGGTAAGCTAATTGCCCCCAACAAGCTGGGTACTCATTTTAGTGACCGTGAAAGGATGCAAGCCTGAGTCGAGCTTGAGCCCTTGGCTGGTATTGAACTTGCAACCTTGTGTTTTGTGAATGAGTGGCTGCAGTACAGGCATTTAACCACTGTGCCACCAGGGCAATCATGGCAACAATGTTTTAATCATGGCTATGTAGCAATCATAAATATGGAACAATTATAGATGAATAAATCTAGGCAGAGCCAGCACGGTGTAGTATTTTGAGCATAGGACTATGATCCTGGAGACCAGGATTCGAATCCTTGCTCAGCCATGAAAGCCCACTGGGTGATCTTGGCAAGACACAGTCTCTCAGAGGACAGCAATGGCAAACCCTGTCTGAAGAAACTTGTCAAGAAAACCCCATGATAGGTTTGTCTTAGGGTCACTATAAGATGTAAATGACTTGAAAGAAACAACAAATCTAAGGACGTTATCACACGTGGGCCAAAAAGTGATAATAAAGTGGAAATGAGGCATTCTGAAAATAAATGGAAAATAAACCTTGATTCCGCAAATGGCTTTCACACGTAATTACCTTAATTGCGAATTTACAGTAAGCGCATTTAATGTTCACAATTGAGATAGTTATGGTTCTAACAATATTGTTCTAACAATTGAGAAAAGCCTGTAAATGTACTAGAAATGAGCTTCTTGCACATGCACAGATAGAGGAATGCTCGCTGGAACAATGGGAAAAGCAGGGAAATGCTCCCAAATTTGCATTTGCTTTTCACATTACGGTAAATGTGACATTACCTTAATTTTGCAAGTGCATTTCCTCAAAACAACTGAATTTTAAAAGATCGCAGTTAACACCAATTTCTGTCTACTTTCTGTCCAGTTTCTGTGCGACGTCGTGTGAAAACGCGGGGCACAAATCCCGTTTCTGTTTGGGATTTGTGTGGATTAACCAGCAGATTTGCCCCCGTGTGATAACGTCCTAAGTAACTTCTGTATTTACAATTGCTATTTAGTTATGGTTCTAACAATATTGCCATAGTTGTAACTCACCACCACCACCTACATTACCAGGCATCAGCTTCATGGACAGAAGGAGGTCAATTCTGCTGACAACCAGAGCATGGGTGAATCATGTTCCCAATAAGGGTTGGATGTGGTTCAGGCCAGGAGACATTCCTTAAGAATATTAACTGATTAGCTGAGACAGAATACTGGCCAGTACTTTTAAATGCCATCAGCTGCAAGGGGAGAAAGTCAAATGTGTTCTTATTCCTTGTTATTGAAATCAATGGGCTTCAAACAAAAATGTCTGTAAAATATAAATGGCACAATATGCATATCATTTAAGGATTTTTGTGGTCCTCTCCTCCCAGACCATCTGCTCAGTGGCCTTGATTTATCAGTGGCAGATGGATCATGGTAGCATCCACAGATTTGTGAATGAAATGCTCCACTCACCTTTTCGCGCTTCTCTTAGTAGGTGAGATGTGTGAATGTCAAAACACACTCATAGTGATAATTCTGTTTTAAGATCTATTTTGGCAGGAATAACTTTTTTGTGAAATAATGCAGAAAATATTTAATTTCTAATCAGTACTGATGTGTTAGCCCTTCTTGTTCTGAAATGAGTCAGAACATCAATATTATAGAGACACATATTTTCAACACTTAGATCCTTTTTAAAAAATTAGTTGCTTTCACAGAAGGAGAAGGAAGAGGACAAAAGGAAGTTGTCAACATGGCATGTTTGGGAGGTTGCTTCTTACAATTATGTAATCATTTTCCTCTTTTTGACACCACTAGGATTAAGAGAGATCAACTTTTGACATCTGAAGTTAGGGTGTAAAATGAGATTGGACTGATGACTTCTCTCCAGTTAAATGGGAACAAGTTACAATAAACATATGTAATGTCTAACTTAACCTTTTAACTAAAATGGCCAGGTCCAAAAGGGTAGAGTTCTCCTGTAACTTTAGTAGTTGTATAAAAGTAAGTAAAGCAAGTGCCTTCAAGTCATCTGTTGACTCATGGGAACTTCATGAATTTCATATGTGTTTCTTAAGTAAGGAATACTCAGAGGTGACTTGCCATTGCCTTCCTCTGAAATAGTAGTATACTTTAAAAGTAATATATAGTAGTAGTAAATAGTAGTATAGAATTTTCATTTTACACTATTTGGATTTTATTGCTATTTTTTAAACTTAATTGTATATATCACCTCATGTATCTAGTGGGCAGAAATAATAGGAGGTGGAGGAGCAGCAACACTATTTCTGACAGTGTATTTTTGTTTTTCATTTCACCTAAATTTTGAATCATAAGTAAAATGGATGTTGTAGAAGAGAAACATATGGACTTTCAGATGATGTTTGATTGCAACTCACAGCATCCTTATCCATTGGCTATTCTAGCTAAGGTTGCTGGGACTTTCAACCCAGCAATCTCTGGAAGGCTATATGATTCCTATTCCTGGTTTAGAGAAGGTCTAATAACTACAAATAAACTAAATCCATTGAATTAGCAATTTTTATGTAAGTATTGACTTCCCTTCAGGATCTACCCTAGATTCAATGGCTCTAACCTAGTTGAGACTAGTTACTGAATTTGGGCCCAATATGTGTTTGAAAAGTGTTGTTATAAACTGTATTGATACTATTTCATAGTTTTAAAAATCATGCTATTAAAACAGGAGAAATCACGGCATAATCAAGAGCAGGAAACTATTTTTTAAAAAAGCATAGTGATAGGACTATCATCTTTCTGAAGGACATAATTTAGTGCTGTTCCCATCCTCCCCCGAAACAGTCCTCCCCAGAAACATAAGACTGAAACAGAAAAAGATGGATGAAACCACAGCCTGAGAATTATGGCAGTTCGCTGCTCACAATGTGCACTGTCATCCCACATATGGGAGTGAGGCTATATTAATCATTCTAAAGGAATTGCATCTGACTTGTCCTACTTGTTTCATTTGTCTGGCTATTGTATGAGTTTTTCAGATTTTTAAATTGTTTCAAAATTTGAACTATGTATCTGACCAGAAGCAAAGGAGTGAGAAATGTCTACCATCTATAGGAAACAGGACCTCCTTAAAACCATGTAAAAGCTAGTCTTAAAACTAGAGGAAACATGATGCAACTCAGATTCTGGTAGCATCTCAAATCCAAGCTGTTCTAGATTAGGGATTAGAGCCATTCCTTCCCCCCTTGGCCTGGCGGAGAGGAGGACTTCGGGGGACCGGCCCAGGGCTCAAAAAGGTTGCCTACCCCTGATCTAGAGTTATGCACCTATAACAATTATGTATTAGTGATCTCTCATATTCATTAAAGGGAATTGTGATGGGGTCCTAATTCTGCATGTCACACTGGATATCACTCATGGGAGGGAGTGGAAATGTCAGTCAACTGGTTCCCAAATTACAAGTGAAAAGGCCCCCATTTATTGCAGCTGCTTCTTCCTGGTATATAGAGATTTAGGAGGTTGGGCCAGGATTTACTGTATCACACTGTATATGTATATGTATCTTCCATATGCTCAGAATTATCTTCCATTATGCTCAAAATACTGCAACACAGAATCCAATCATACATGGAATGAGAAATCCCCGAGGTTCAAGCATGGTTCAGAAAAGGAAGGGGCACCAGGGATCACACTGCAAATATACGATGGGTAATGGAGCATAGCAGGGAGTTCAAAAAGAAAATCAGCATGTGCTTTATAGACTAAGGGCTTTTGCAGACTGCTAGAAATAGTGCAAATTGAGTCCACTTTAACTGCCCTGGCTCAGTGCTAGGAAATCATGGGAATTGTATTTTTTTTCTGAGACATTGAGCCTTCCCTGTCAGAGAGCTCTGGTGCCACAATAAACTACAGTTCCTATGATTCCCTAGCACTGAGTCAGGGCAGTTAAAGTGGACTCAATTTGCACTATTTCTGGCAGTCTGCAAAGGCCCTAAAACAAAGCTTTTGACTATATAGATCATGAAAGGCTATGGAACGCCCTTAAAAACAAGGGAGTGCCAACACATCTGATTGTCCTAATGAGGAATCTGTACTCAGGACAAGAAGCTACTGTCAAAACAGAACATAGAGAAACAGAATGGTTCCCAATTGGCAACGGAGTCAGACAAGGCTGCATCCTATCACCCTATCTATTCAACCTATATGTAGAACATATTGTAAGGAAAGCAGACTGGGATATGGAAGAGGGAGGAGTGAAAATAGGAGGAAGAAATATCAACAA